GCCCTGTTATTGCCGATAACTTTTAATAGAGACAAAGAGTAGGAAAAATCGGGGATTTAAAAAATCCCTGTTATTACCCGATCCCTGTTATTTCCGGGCCTGTTATATATGGTTTCCACTGTATATAATTCTTCTTGTCTTTTTCCAACCCCTTGCAGTTTAAGGTCTCAAATTAAATTTTTATTGGTCTACCCCAACCTCTTTTGGCTGCTATTTTTCCATTGAGAGCATGACCTTCAAGGATATTAACTTTAATATCAATTCAATTAAGTATATTTGTGGCTAATTCTGCTAATACTGCTATATTTCGACGATCATTATCTGCCAGCAGAACAAAATCTCTTTCCATGACCCTCACCTGCCCCATGACATCCAGCAGTAGTCGCATAGACTTGTCATCATGGACAAGAGAGTCTGTGTAGATCCTGCCCAAATACTTCCTTGGGTTGACAGAATTCTGTACAGCACATAGGTCTGGCCGGACATTGAAGCCATGCTCAATTCTTCCCACAGTGAAAGGGAAAGCTCCACCTGTTAAGATGTGCAAGAGGATTAGCTTTATTATAGATGCACTTCCAAAGCAAACAGACACAGAGTTTTGTTCTGGTCTCTGCAACACAAAAAGAATATATAGAAGTAAATAAAGAGCAGGGTAAGAACACACAACACATACACCTACAACTACACAAATAGGGTTCACAATCCCTTTCTCTCTCTTCCTTTCCAGTAATACATACAACTTAAAAGCACTTAACTTTACCCTTCATTTGAGAAAAATTTTAAAAAAAAAAATCCCTGTCAATTTTCTGCCGTGTTAAGAAAACCCACAATTTACAAACACAACTCATGCCCTTTGTAAGTGTACAGAAGCTGACCAAACTGAGGAACACATCCTCCAGCAGTGCAAGACACACAGGGTCCTGAAACAGGAAATGAGGATCCTGTCCCCGCGGTTTTATGCAAAAACAATTCAGAAATTACGCTGAGCAAAAAAATGTGAAATTATGTGATTCTGTTAATTTTAACAAAGAATGATAAAGGAAAATAATTAGAAATTATGCAAAAAACAATCAAATTCTACTAAATTATGCGGGTGCATAAAACCATGGGGGCAGGCTAACTGAAGAACTGAGCAGGATCACCCAGTTATATAGATAATATTAATCATCACTTCTCTAGTGCTCACTCCCTGGTGGCTCTAGACATTTCATAATAAAATAAGATTTAAATCAACATTTCATGTATACTAGCCATTCAAAATACAATAATTCTTTCGAATACATATACACTTGTATTCTGACAGAAAATATACACATAAAGACAATTACTGTGACTACTGATCATACTTGCTGTTGGAAGAAGAATCAAACTAGACTTTTTGATAGATTCTAGACCTCAAGTGTGGTGCGATCAAAAATAAAAAGAAGGAACCCCCTCTGTAAAAGAAATCTCCTCTAAGTGACATACAAAACTCGCGGAGAGCTGCCCACATAACGTACCCTAAGCAATATACACAACTTGCTCACACATTGTTACACATAAGCCTTACTCTGTGGGACACAAACACTTCACCTCATGTAACACACACACACACACACACACACACACACACTGTGACACACACATACTGCGACACACTGACACACACACACACTGTGACACACTGACACACACACACTGTGACACACTGACACACACACACTGTGACACACACATACACACACTGTGACACACTGACACACACATACTGTGACATACATATACACACACTGTGACACACTGACACACACATACTGTGACACACTGACACACACACACTGTGACACACTGACACACACACACACACTGTGACACACACATACACACACTGTGACACACACACACACACTGTGACACACACACACACACCTACACACACATAATGTGACACACACACACTCTCACACACACACACACACAGGGACACACACAACACACAACACACACTGTGATACACACACACACACACACACACTGTGACACACTGTGACACACTGACACACACACATTGTGACACACTGACACACACACTGTGACACACTGACACACACACACACTGTGACACACTGACACACACACACTGTGACACACTGACACACACACACACTGTGACACACACATACACACACTGTGACACACACATAAACACACACACACATACACTGTGACACACACACACACATACACTGTGACACACACACACACACACACACACACACACACACACACACACACCTTCCCCGGTGTGACACACTCAACTTACCACCATGAGCGAAGCAGACCTTCAGTCTGGGGAACTTCTCAAGAACACCTCCAAAGAGCATGGAGCAGATGGCTGTGGTGGTTTCAGCTGGCATGCCTGAAACAGAGCAACGATCATCTAAGCTTATTCTCAGAGTGGGTGGTTGGCGGGTGCTCTGGTGTGGTTTGCTTCTTCTTTCCTATCAAACGTCTATCGTCCTGATCTCTCCTCCTTCTATTTTGTGTTTGTTCCTCTCTTGTAACACCTCTAATCTTCGGCACTTATATGACCTTATTGTGTTGCAAGTGCCGTAAAACTCTTTACTAAAACTAAAACTTATTCTCAGAAAAACAGTACAGGTGGTATAAACAAACCAGACGAATGGTGTGGCAAGGTGGGTTTACTTTACACAGGTATCTTTTTTCTGCTTTGTATGAAGGATAAAGTTGGGTAAATTCCTTATTTATTTCTTCTATCATAAAATACCTTTTTTTTTCAAAGACAGTGAACTTCTAAGGTATGCCTCACTTCACCTACTCTGAAGGTCATAATTCATTTCTCTGCATGAAAAAAAAACAACTGCACATACCACACATTTATTAAATATCTAAAGATGCATTGAGCCTCTGAAAATAAAAATGACATTTTAGAGTAACTATTCTTTGGGGTTATCAGCACAAGTCATCTCTTCAAAAGCTATGATAAAGATATGACTATGAAAGAAAATAAGAGCACATTTGTGTCACGACGAGGTGGAATCAGGCACTCTTTAGTTGTTTTTTTTGTATATGGAGTCATTGGTATCAACTTAAAGCTCGTTCATTTGCCTTGCTTTTGGTGAAAAAAATTCCACCTATCTTGAATATAAGATAAGACCAGATATTTGCAATGGAAGGAGGTGCAGGTCACCAAGAGTCAGAGGTAAAGTTAGCAAAAAAATGGTCACCCAAGTTTAGTGAATTGCAAAGCTTGAGCGTCCTCAGAAACTGAAAATTTCCATTTTTTGTGACTTTAACCACCTTTTTCAGTAAAATCAACACATAAATGTGATTTTAAATGGACATAAAAGGTGCTGAGCCAAAACAAAGAAAATTTGAAAAAAATTGTCCAATGCGCCGAAAAATGTTAGTTTCTTTGATTTTCATTATTTTGATGAAGGCCTGGTTTCACCATGACACATTACACTTGTGTATAAAACAATGTACAAGTGAACTTGTCCAAAACAACTTCATAGTTTTTAGGAGAAACGTGGTCATCCTTGAAAGGTGATCCTCTTAGACAGGGTCTCTATAATATTTTTGAAAAGCAAAAAGTTAAACGTGGTCGTTTGTTTTTTTAGTTTTAGAAAGAGTGTTATGGCACTTGCAACACAATGAGGTCATATAAGTGCCGAAGAATAGATTATGTGTTACAAGAGAGTAACATACACAAAAAAGAAGGAGGGGAGATAAGGACAACAGATGTTTGATAGGAAAGAAGGAGCAAACCACACCAGAGCACCCGCCAACCACCCACGTAATTTGTTTATTTGTTTGGTTAGAGTCTTACAATATTGGCAATAGCATAAGATCATATGAGCATATAGGGATCATTTTTAATGGTGATAGTCTTGCACAGGTTGTTTTTGTTATTACAACAGGTTCAGCGACAGTTATCTGTCAGTACTAGCCCTCTGATCTACTCACCTACCAACCAAGGCAACCAGTAATTCTTCATGCGACCTCCTAGTTCCATATCCCAGGGGTGAACAAAGATGGCACAGTTGTGTTCCTCTGCAGCCTTTTAAAATAAACAATCACAACTTTTTAAAAAGATAAAACACTTCATCTAAGAAGAGTGATTCTTCTAAGTATGACACTTTTTCTCAACTAGGTTCTGTTGAGAACGAGCTGACATGATCATACCCACAGTAATAATAATAATCATCATCATCATCATAAATATAAAAATACTAACAACAACAACAACAATAATAATAATAACAATTATGCAAATAATTTCTATAACGCCCACTCTGGTACAATACAGCTCAAAGTGCTTTACAATACTCTATCTTAACACTGAATACATGTAGCCTACATAAACCTGCTTACATAAGCTCTTTAGGTTCACACTAATACATAAGGAGACATTTATAGTATCACCGCAAAACTGATGACGATAAGCATACCACAGAGTGAACATAAGAGAATTATGAATAACAAGGACTAACTGTTATTTTTGTTTTTGTAAAGTGTTTTACAGCGGTCGCAACTGCATAAGGCGCGGGACACACCTAATATTTTCAGTTGGTAGGAAATTTTTAATTCTGCACACGGGCCCTCCGAGATTTTGCGCCCTTGCCCGAGAAGGCTAGGTGTAGATCTTTCCTACCAGAAGATCAGGGGTGTGGCTGAAAGACAGCAGTAAGAAGAAGCGAAGGAGTAGCAGTAGAAAGGCTGCAGAAAGAATCAGGAGCCCAGAGGAAGGGGCAAAGGAGGTGAGGGGGTGGGGGCAGAAAGAGGAGACGAAAGCAAACGACAGAACATTGCTAAAGAGCAGGAAAGGAGGTGAAAGGAGACAAATTTAGAGAAGAAAATTTTTCGGTCGCTACCCGGATTCAAACCCGGGACCTTTTGAATGAGAGGCCAACACCTTAACCTCTAGGCCACGAGAGCCCCCACTAACTGTTAAGACGGCATTTCACTTAGTATGCTTTTCAATCAATTTTAGATTTTGCGCCCGACTTTGCATTCCTCAGATGTTGGGAGTAAGAGTTCCACACAGATTGAGCTGGATGAGGAAAGGACCTCTGCGCCAGTTTGCGAGCTCCCTTCCTTGGGTCTCCTGCACGCGACAGAGAAGTGCCGAACCGCTCCACTTTAGATGCCAGTATGCTGTTAAAAGTATTGTCAAAAGTGGCTTCAACAGAGTCTTTCCCTTCTTCTGTCAACACACATCTATCTGTTTGTGTGACGAAAAAGTGAACATTACACTAAAAACCATGATCTGACCCATCACAGGACACAAAAACCAGTACCTGTGGTGTAGCAGTTAGGAACTTCGCTGTAGCATGCAGGAGACCCGAGTTCTATTCCACAAAGGGGAGAAAATTTGTATTGAGTATCTCAGTCTTCCTACAGGGATGTTACGTCCCTCTCAGCCTTGGTTGGCCCTGAGAGGCAGGGTCACAAGCCTGCTTTCTATATGATTTAAATTGCGTGTTGATGGGGACGTAAAAATGCCAACAATTAAAAAAAAAAGAAGAAAAAAAAGAACAGGAGACAAAGACACCAAACCTTACGGCAAAAACTGGCTGCAGTTCAGGGGCATCCAAGTTCCACTCATTAATATGAGACCCAATCTGAACACCAGGAAAACCTGAGGGACAAGCAGGCATAGGGTTATCCCTGTTTTTGGCCAACATTGTTGATGGAATGTGGGGATGATGCAACTTATGTAAATCATGACTAAATGTGCCTTAAATAACACATTTTGTGATGAAGCTCTTCATTTGCACATTCAAATAAATTGAATTTGCCACAGGGCTCAATAAGCAAAGAATGTGGACTATAAACTTTGATAGCTATAGTCAAAAGCTTAATTTCCCTATGAAGGCAAAAGAAAAAACATCTCCCCATTTCAACATGCTACAGCCTCAGACATATTGAGAAGCAGCCAATAAAATGGAAATTTGCCTTTTTTGAGGATTGGATCTTGGTAAATATGATTTTAATATCACTCATCCCTTACTCTTACCCAATTCCTTTCGGCACCGAATCAGTTCTTTCACAGCCAGTTCTGGCGCTTGCATTGGAAGAGTCCCAAGTCCTACAAATCTGCTAGGACATTCCTTGACCAGGCCAGCCAGGTGATTGTTGAGATACTCACACAAGTCCAGAGTGTCCAGTGGTTCAGCCTGGAAAGTTCAGTTTTAGTAGAGGTTTTACAGCGCTCGCAATTGCATAAGGTCAAATGAGCACCAGAAGATAAGAGGTGTTTCAAGAGAGTAAAAAACATAAAAAAGAAGAAGGGGAGATAAGGATGATAGATGTTTGATAGGTACAGAAGAAGCAAATCACACCAGAGCACCCGCCAACCACCCACTTCAGCCAGGAAAGGGGATAACATTAAGTGCAGTAATGATAATAATAAAAACAATAATAATAATAATAATAACGGGAATTTATAAAGCCCTAATGCAGAATTATTGCTCAACTGAACAGACAAATGATAAGACAGAAAATACACATTGTGAGACCATTTTTACAACAACATGCTTTGACCATTGGATCTTGGTAAATATGAGTATACACTGGGATCAGGAATGGATAACTTAAACACACTTTGGGGATTGACAAAATGTGTTCAACACATCCATAATTCGGGTTAACTGATAAAGAAAAATTAAAGATATAGCGGTAGGAGAATGGCAAATTATATGAACTATCTGAGATTTCGAGTTTTCTGCATCCATGTTATCTTTGCCCAACTGTATATGAACAATATCGCTTGTCTGTTATCCACTGTCGCAGTCTTACAACTCAATGTTTCTTAAATCTCCTATTGTCATACTAGTACTATAGTACTCAAGTACTTATAGCTCCATGACAAAAGCCAGAACCACATGTATGATCAGGATCGAGATTAAGTAAGTCAAAATCCCTTATCTCTCCCATACAGCTCAAGGACCTGTCTGTGCACAGAACAGACAGGATTTCACTGCCACGCCTCTGCAGCACATCATAAGATCCACTTCAGTTTGTGATATCAGCATGCATTTCCTTTTCTTTTAATGGGCCGAGTACACGAGTTTAGACCCACATCTTGAGGCTTTCTCTTCTTTCATTTCGAACAACAGAATGAATGCTAAGCTTGTGAAACGAGGAAATCAACATGGAAACAAATACAATACTGGAGGGAGTAAATGAATTTTGGAGAAAACAAAAGAAAACAAATTTTCCAGATGACAAGCATCTTGCTTTATTAAAACTACTCTCTTTTGAATATTATTCACAATAAATCAATGAGAAATAATAACATCTCTATGAAAATTAATTAGAATAAAGAACGGCTTAGCTCAAAATTGTGACTACAGTATCCTTGAAGAACAGAAGAAAAAGAAAATGAAATGGAAAACGAGAGAAAAAAATTGAAAGCGACACAAAACATTTTAGTCTTCTTATCCTAATTAAATCCAATGAGTGTTGGCTAATCCATTCCTTGTGCTCCCATTTCTTCACACCGAGTACTTCTTGACAAGTTGATGTAAAGACTTCTTTGACCTTGGTCCAGTGTGTATTCACCTGTTCCTCAGCTGCAGCTGAAACTCTTCTTTCTTGTGCCCATCCAAGAGACTTACTTGGAACTTTATTCTTTTGATTCCTGTGCTGGTTCCATGCTTTTTGAGTCGAAGCTTGAGTTTTGCAAACAGCAGATGATGATCCGACCCAACATCTGCCCCTCTCTGTACTTTGACATCTTCCAGAGAACACCTGAACCTACGAGAGATACAAAAATGATCTATCTGGCTCTTCGTCACTCCATCTGGTGAAACCCATGTGGCCTTGTGAATCCTCTTGTGGGGAAAAACAGAGCCTCCAATGACAAAACTGGTGAAAGCACAAATATTTGCGAATCGCTCACCATTCTCATTCATTTGTCCTAAGCCGTGTTGTCCCATAATTCTTTCATACCCCACGTTGTCCCGACCAATCTTGGCATTGGCATCTCCCATTATGATGTTGACATCCTTCTTTGGTAGTTTGTCGATGACCCCCTGGAGCTGGCTGTAAAAGGCATCCTTGTCTTCATCCGAAGCATCATTTGTTGGGGCGTAGATTTGGACTATATTCGTGTTGATGCTCTTGCTCCTTGTAGTGAATGAAGCCATGACGATCCTTTCCCCGTGTGGTTCCCATCCTCTAAGTGACTTCTGTGCATACTTACTCAAAATGATTCCAACTCCTTCCGCATGATACTTGTCTTCCCTCCCAGAAAACAATACTTGTTCCCCCAAGCTGAGCTGCTTCTGTCCAGACTGTATCCAGTGGGTTTCGCTGACTCCTTGTATGTGCAGCCTGTATCTCTTCATCTCTTGTACTACTTGAGAACTCTTTCCTGTTTCATACAAGGTGCGAACATTCCACGACGCAATCCGGAGAGACTTGTTCGACAGAGAAGGTTTCGGGTCAGAAGAGTCCTTTCGGCTTTGTCCGCTGTCCTTCATTGTTCCTGCTGATGCAGAAGCTCCTCCGTTTCCCAAGATCGAAAAATAAAAAGCTGTGTTTGTTCGTGTTTCTGTAACTTACTGTTTTTTACTGGGTTGGGTAGTTGGCCCTCCGCCAAACTAGCACTTTTCGGGTGACCAGACCGTTGCACTTTTAGTCGCCTCTTAAGTGCCATATGTCTAGAATAAAACAGATTTTCAAGACAAAACTATTGCGTGGTGACAATCATTCAGAGCAAAAGTACAAAATTAGTTTGTTTACTAACCCAGTAGCCAAACATGACAGGAACTGTGGACAAGACTTGGACATCAACACCTGAAACGACACCAAGAGAGACTTTCATGAATGATACATTAATATGACTAACAAGGTTTCCATATCTTCCAAACAAGCTACAACTATAACACTTCTGCACAAAGAGGGAGTGGGGTGGGTTGGGGTGGGGGGGGGGGTTATAAAGTTAAAGCCCTCCACATAAATCTGGGCACAAGATTCCAATCTTTTTGCAAATATACTTCTAAATTTAAGCCAGGCAATGCCAAAGCATTTAATTCTGCAACAACAATAACAAGAAATAAAACAACAACAAAAAACCTTGTCCTGACGGAATATTCCTATATTCATTTGCACATCTAAAGAAGAAATATTCCATTGCTAGGGTAAAAGTTCAAGTTTTTGACATCCCCTGGATAAATGACAACAACGATTCAGTGCTGATAAGAAATGGTGAAAGAAAAATACCACCTCTACTTGTAGCGTTCATGAAACAAGCTCAGTTTAACATATTTAGTATTACAAAGATGAAAATATTCCCTTTATTTTTTTGTTGAAAAAGATAAAAGTGTAGACGAGGTGGAGGAATAAAATAGAGACTCCTGCTCCGACTCGAAAACAAAGCAACATTTAATCTTTTCTGGCCCTAATAAAAAGGATCATTATCATCAATGACAACACCTATCACTTCCTCAGCAAATGTTCTGAAAAAAAGTCAGTACATTCTATACATTACCTGTCCTATCCATATCCTTGAGTCTGGCAGCTGTCGACCAACAATTGTCCTCAATTTCTCGGAAGAGTTTACCGTCCTTCATCATTCGTGCCTTTCCAGCACAATGATGATGCAGTTGAATCCATCCACCATATCCATACCGCTGAAAATACAGTAGGTAATCGAACTTCCAATTATAGTGCAAAACATTTATCTTTTTCCCAAAGACAATTAAGAATGATGCATGAGCCGTTCACAAAATTTGTGACAAAGTGCTCCAACAACCCAAATTGTCAAATGGTCAATTTCTATGCTTTTCTTACCTTAATGCAATCTATAATTGAGATGATAATCAGAAACACTAGCTCAGAAAAGCTGACCAACAGTTAAATCCAACCTTAATAAAAAAGTGACATGCTTGTGATCATGCTGTGGCACAAATAAAAATGTGCCAGTTCTTTCAATTGAAAACACAGCTCATTAATATATACATACAATGTATAATTACATAGAAACACTGCATGGCTTTCATACTTGCGATCAAAATGTAGACGAGCATCTGCAGTGTAGTGGTTATAATAAACCCTCTTTGACATTGGAAGAGGAAGAGGTGAATTGACTCCCCTGTCGGGAAGATGACTAATTGAGTATCTCCATCTGTCTGCGTGCGGGAGTAATAATAAATATAGTAAAAATCTACCCAAAAAGTATAATCCAAACAAGACCTTAAGCTGTCATGTATTCTAAAACTATTGCAAACAGCTTCATTACAAGAGTATCATGTGCACAGCATCTAACTAATTATATTGTAATCATTTCAGCCATGCCCATAGAAACATGTAGCCTATTCTGATGAATACCTTTTGCCAAAAAGTAAAACGTTTTTATCAACATCAGTAATTAACATGGCGATGCTTTTTGGTGCAAGGAATCTAAAGAGAAAAAAAACAACTTTTTTTTCAGAGAAGGAAGGGACTAGCGACTGAATTATAGATAGAATTCAATTAATTCAGCATTCTTTCCTCAAGTCTGAACCTTTTGGGAGAACATTTAACTGTTGAACCTGTCCTTAACCATCACAATAGACCAAGAAGGAAAGAGGCCGTTATGGCAGGAGGGTCTGAATAATGATCACACTACACCTATGAAAACGAATTCTTACACGGCACTTGCAATAGATGTCACCAACAACAACACAGAAGCTTAACTAAAACACTCTCCTCTGGGTTCATACAAATTTTAAAACATTGAAATGCAGCCATCAGTCTTAAACACCCCCAGTAGAGCCCAGGTCAACAGGTCATTAACAAAACAAGATAACACTAGAAAAAAAAAGGCTGACCTAAGCAGCCGAGATAGCCACCGTCAGACTGACACCACACTGCCTGTCATATGACCACATGGCATTTATTACTGGTTGTTGCATAAGAAGTGGACAGCGGCAGAGGAAACCAGTGAACTCATCACACGGTGAAGTCGACACAGCTGAAAAACATGTGGCGAGTTCACCGAAAAAAAAGTATCCAAATAACAGTGAACTCGTCACACCACCTCCACCAGCCATCTTGTACCATTTTACTGTTTCATTGCACAGAGCAACCTACTTAGGGAACCTATCAAATGGTTAACGGGGACAGATCAGCGAAACATAGCTTTATTAAGAGCATTCGAGCAAAGGAATAAATGGAGAACAATGATCCCTGATGTCTATTGCAGATCTGGATCTGGGTGATGATGGTGGTATATTGCTCACAAAAATGGTCCGTTTTCTCTTTAAAATGCTGAGACAGAAAGGTTGACGTGTAGACTTTGATTCAATAAACTCTAGCTTTGTATTTTAAAAATATTATTAATTAAAGGTTGACAAGTGTGGGTTTGCCTGCCAATCCACGGTGAACTTGCCACACATTTTTCACAAGTTTGAGTATGTGACGAGATCACAGGAAGTACGAGACGACTTCACCATGTGACGAGTCAACTGGAAGCCCGGCAGAATGCTCTATGGGACCAACACACTGCACATCCTTGGGTCAGCGCTCTAATAAGCCCCACCCCTCTTGTTTCATATGGTAGTGCCTATATAGCCAGGCAATAAAAAGCCCAGTTACCAGTTACTTCTTAGCATTGATGATAGCACGAACACACTCAGTTGGGGAACAGGTTGGCAGAACTTACCAAGTGACTGCACTATGAGCAGGTTTTGAGGCCAACTTGTCATGAATGAAGTGGCTATTCCGACGAGTCTGAAAAGCCTCCCATGGCTATTCGGACTCAAACTTCAATAAGGCAAGCTGGAATTGATGTTTTTCATTATCATATCGATTTCAGCATGAGATACTTATTGGTTGATGATTTTCCAAACTGACTCTTCCTCTGTCATTTTAATGCTGTTTTAACATTTAATTTGCATTTTATTTGTCCCCAAGAAATGACAACTTTAATGACTTTATTAATGTTTTGAACTGATACCCCTTCAGACAATGGAAGGATTGTTGCTTGTCTAACACATGTGGTGTTTTGTTCTGATTTTATTTGACCATCATGTAAAGTATACTGTTGGCAAAGCTTTTCCTTTAGACCACTGTTACTTTGAATGACTGACTTTTGTTCCCTTAGGAACGGTTTTAAGTTTTCTCTTTTTAATTTTTAACTGGACTTCCAATTGATCAGTGATTTTGTCTTTCTCATCAAATAAAGCGGGTTTAGACTACCTATTGATAGATTTATAATCCTTTGTCGTTCTGAAACTTTGATTTTCAATTCTTTCACTGCTTTGAGAACAGATTGCCGTTTCCCTGTTTGCGTTTATTGAATATATTGTTTTGTAGTTCAGATTTTGCAACTGTATTCCCTTTTGACGTCACAAAAGTAATACTTTTCTTAATTTGTGTCCAATATTTTGACCAGATAGTAGAAACAGAGGAAGGACAAGGTCGAGTTGGCTGTCCGCTTCACATCCGGTAGCCTATAGTACCCCATGACTGCGCACGCGCATCGGAGTTTGAGTCCGAATAGCCATGGGAGGCTATTCAGACTCGAGTCCCAACAATAGACGCAGCCGTCATATGAAAATGACTGCATGACTGGCTATGTTAGACAAGGGCCACTGCTAAGGACAAGTTCGGAACAGAGGCCATTAGTACAAGAGACTGTGCTAAGGTTTGACAGTATGTATTAGGGGGTAGCATATGAGTAAGGGCATGAATCTTACAAAGACTGCGCTGGTAACTGGTGGCACTTTTTGTCCAGTACGGAGTGTCTACGTACACCGTAACTTACGATAACCGGGCACCTAGCCTCAGTGTCCACGTACATGGTAACCGGCAACCGGGCACGTAGTCTCAGTGTCACGTACACGGTAACCGGGCAGTTCAGAACTCCAAGTTCAGTTTTTGTCATCTGGTGTTGCCTTTATCCCCATCCCTCCCCCAACTATACCATTAAAAAAAATCAATAATCCCCCCATTCCGGAGCCCTATACTTCGCAGCGCACAGACTTTGAATGAACTTTGGGGGCCCCAACCGGTACTCACAATGTGATGCACACTGACCGGTCACGATGGCTAGCCCGACAAAACGCTTGTATGACTTTCTCTTTTTTTCAGCAAGTGACAGCACAAGACAAATATTGATTTATTTTAATTCCGGTTACTGTGTACATAGATAAGGCCAGGGCAAGATCGACGGCAAAAAGACTCGAGGCCTCAATTCCAAAACTGAAAAAGATTCAAGGAATTGAGTTCAATTTTCGAGTTTGGAAGCTGCTTCAAGTGAGCCTGGCTGTTTACAGGCCATGACTTGAACGCTGCTAAAAATAGCTTTTAAACTGGAGAATCGAGTCTCGAGTTTGACACTATTTGACAGACATGGCTGGCAAAGCCTGCGCGCATACCAAGACAAGTTGGTTTTCACGCATTTGTGTGTGTGTGTGTTTGTGTGTGTGTGTGTGTGTGTGTGTGTGTGTATGTGTGTGTGTGTGTGTGTGTGTGTGTGTGTGTGTGTGTGTGTGTGTGTGTTGTAGATAGACTTGTAGGGTTGCCTCCCTTCTATCACTCTTGCCAAAGCGTGGGGCACAGTCTCCTTCTCTCCTGCATCCTTTGCTTCCTGATATGTCAAAGTATGCTTTGATGACAAATGTTTTGTTATTGTCCACGTTGTATTATTGTATGCCAAAACATTTTTACAAATCATACAAACAACAGTATTGTGTTTTTCTGCTTATAAAAAAAAGTCCCAAGCTAAAGATCGACGTCTGGACATGATGACTCATTAAATTGATATCAACTCAAAACACACAATATGATTTACAAAAGAATACGTGTACAGTGAAAATGAAAGAGCAGTGAAATTCAAAAGCAAGCGTTCAAGACAAAAGAAAGAGAAAAAGGAAGTGAATGATTTAATTTGGGATGGGCGGGCGTGGGGCAACAAGATTCAAAGTAGCAGTAGCCTACGTGCAGCGTGGTTTCGTACTTACTGGGCTACACGGTAAACACGACGAGTAGGCCTAGACCTAGTTTAGCATTCACTCATAGCGGGGAAGAAGAAGGTGGGGTGGGGTGGGGGGGGTTGCGTGAGACAATTGATAGTGACTGACTGGCTGTTTCTTGCCTTAGACCCCTACCGCACTAGGCCTACGACAGTTCATCCCGGGACGGACCTGTCTGACGTTTGAAACCTTTGAGCTGGAGTGTAATGTACCGCACCTATTATTGGGACGTGACATTTTTGTTGCATTGAGTCCCGGGCAGTTGTGAATCGCTACAACATCGGTGGGACAGGATGACCTAATACTGTTTGATCTTTCTCTTTCGTCTAATACGAAGCAACAGAGCACAGGCACATGCAACCTCATTCATCCACCTTGAAGACGTAGTCTTGAATCTACATGTATCTCTATGCCTAGTGCACGCCAAATTCAAATAGTAAAAAAAAAATATAAGTAAAGCATTCCCCGCGTAATGTTTGCTAATTTTGGGCCCTGATCACGAAAATCTTATATTATTTCTTAAATTTGGCCAATATTTAAGAAATTTTTGGAATGCATTTTTAACTCCGCCAAGGCCAACATCAAAGAAGCCGCCTTATGCACCGGATCAGGCTGTCCTGGTGCAGTGTCTGTTTTGAAGCGAAAACTCGACTGTGGGGTGGGACAGCCCTAGGCCTATCCCACGACAGGACAGTATAGTGCGGTAGAGATTTAGATTCTCGCCTCGATTCTCTGAGTCTAGGCTAAGAACAAGGCTAAAAAAAAGGAGACGGGAGGCATCGACCCTGGGCGGACTCGAAGCTTTGAGTTTGTGAACAAGATCAATTCTTTGAATCCTCATTCGGACTCGAAAGAATCGATCCCAGAGCTGATCTTGCCCTGGCATAACATAGATACTGAGACTAACTAGGTGCCCGGTTACCGTGTACATAGATACAGAGTCTAGATGAGACCAGGTGCCCAGTCACCGTGTACGTAGATACTGAGACTAGGTGCCTGGTTACCGTGTAGCCTACGTAGACACTCCGTGTCCAGTAAGCATAGTCATATCCCTAAAACTATAGAATAAAGGCTAGAAGGACTTCCGAAACGAGCAACCACCGCAACAAACACAATAGAGAAGGGTCCTAGATCTAGACCTTACCCTAACCCTAGCCCTACCCTTGCCTTAACCCTAACTCTAACTGCTCTATTCTATAGGGAGTGTATACAGACCCGATAACTGGGAATAAAGTCACAAAGTATACAGACCCGGTAGGGGAACTCTTTTGTGAATTCGGAAAGTTTCAGCACCCTCTTGGCTCAGGGTCACAGAATTCTACACTAATGTAGAATTCTGTGCTCAGGGTAGAACTAAGTCTAAGTTCTTCTAGCTATGTCCTAGGTCTAGCCTAGATCTAGACAGACAGATATAAATCATTGATCAAGTTTCGAGGCTAGCCTAGATCTAAATCTAAATGAAGATTGCGGATGTCTTTTAGATGAACGATCGTTTTTCCCCTGTTTTGGAGTTGGAGAAATCACAATTTGAAG